GACCATGCGATGCATTCATGTGCATGAGCACTAATGCCAAGCACAAAGTGTAAGACTCAGAAAGAAGCAAGGAAGGGAGCTGGGCATGGTGGAGCACACCTGTATCCCAGCACTCAGGAGACTGAGGCAGAAGAGTTGAGGCCAGCCTGGGCTGCATAGTGAGACAATGTTTCAAAAAACAAAAATCAAAAATGGGCAGGTTGATTGAGCCCTTCAGAGATCTAAACAGAAGGATGGGAGTTTGTGTTTCTAGAGGAAAAGAGGTGACCCAGTCATATTACACAGATGAAGTCTCCAAGCTCAGGGTGACCTGTGGTCATTTCCAGCTGGACCAACTGTCAGACCTCCCAGTGTCCTCTAGAAAAGGTCTCTCTCAGACAAAAAAGGTGGGGCTTTGAGAAATGCCTCTGCCCTCACCCACTGTTTACTAAGGTAGGTAGAAGGAACAAGTTCTTACAAAGGAGCAGCCTCCTGTGTTCTGTCTGTAGAGGTCCGCAGTTTTTCTGAATGGCCACCTTGATGTATACCAAAAAATGACATTTGGCCAGCTTAGTTCGTAGAGTGCCTGCCTGGCATGCAGAAGGCCTGGGCTCTATCCCCAGCACCACATAAACTATGTGTGGTGGTGCATGCTGTAATCCCAGAACTCAGGAGGCAGAGGCAGGATGATCAGGACATCCTCAGATACAGAGTGAGTTCAAGACTAGCCTGACATAAAGGAGACCCTGTCTCAAAAAATCAAAAGCCTGGGGCTGGAAAGATGGCTCAGTGGTTAAGAGCTCTTAAGCAACTGTTGGTCTTCCAAAGGATCCAAGTTTGGTTCCCAGCACCTAGGTTGGGAAGTTTACAACTGCCTGTATCTCCAGCTCCAAGGGGATTTGACATCCTCTCTGGTCTCTGCAAGCACCTGTACACACATGACACACATCAGACACACATGTACATAAATAAAAATAAATATTTGAAACATTACCTTTGGAGTGGGCTATTTAGTCGCCCACAGAAAGAGCGGGTTTGTGTGCTATTTTAAAGTATCCCAAGAAAACCTTGCAGACATGCCTTTTCCAAGGTAAAAAAACTGAGGTGGAGAACAGTTACATAACCCATTCAAGGTCCTGAGCCAGGAATTTGCAGTGTCGGGATTTGAACTTGGGGACCTTGACTCCAAAGCCTGTGTTTATTGCCATGTCAAGCTTATCGCAGTAAAAATGACCATGTATTGAATTTTCGCTGCGTGCCAGACACTCTTGCTGCATTTTGCATCTGTTGTGGCATAGTACATATTGGAATTTCGGTACGTCTCTGTGGATGTGGAAATTGAGCTTCAGTTTAAGTAACCTTAGTCATAGCTCAGGGGACACCATGCCCCTGGTCCAGTCTCTGGATTGGGCAATACGACCCTGACTCCAAATGAGCCATGATGGTCATAACTGCAGGGAAAGGCAGCCAATAACCACACAGTACAGCCACCTTGGCCACTCTGCCCAGGGGAGGATGGTTCTGCAATGTTCAGCTTTCCTGGGGGTCCAGATCAGAAGAGACTTGGGGCTGTCTCTGTTCTAGTTTGCTTTCAATTACTGGGATAAAACTTTCTGGCCAATACCAACTTGGGGAGGAAAGGGTTTATTTGGCTCACATCTCCAAGGTCACAGTTCATCAGGGAGCCCAAAGGAGGAACTCAGGGCAGGAACCAGGAGGCAGGAGCTGGAGCATAGGCCATGGAGGAATGCTGCGTACTGGCTTGCTCCCCTGGCCCATGCTCAGCCTGCTTTCTTTTTTTTCTTTCTTTCTTTTTTTTTCTTTTTGAGACAAGGTCTCCCTGTAGCTCCAGCTGTCCTGGAACTCACTATGTAGACCAGGCTGCTCTAAAAGCTGGTTTCTTTGGGGGGTTGGGAGGGTGTTTGAGACAGGCTCTCACTAGGTAGCCCCAAATGGCCTGGAACTCACTATGTAGACCATCGAACTCACAAAGATCAGCCTGCCTCTGCCTCCCAAGTGCTGGGATCAAAGGCAAGCACCACCAAGTCCAGCCAGCCGGCTTACTTATACAACACAGGACAGCCTACCCAGGGGTGGCACTGCCCACAGTGGGCTGGGCCCTCCCACATCACTCAGCAATCAAGAAAGTACCCCACAGACATGGCCACAGGCCAGTCCAGTGAAATTCCCCGGTTGAGGCTTCCTCAACCCAGGTGTGTCAAGTTGACCACAGAAGCTTCCAGCACAGGTTCTTTAACAGAAAGGAACGTCGTGTTTGCCAGTTTTGAGCACCCATTTCCACCAAGATGATAAAACTTGCAGACTGAGGAAGGCCGGGGTCCCGTGATCTCAGGACAGCCTTGCCAGCATTCTTCTGTGAAAACCCTTTGTTGAAATCTGGAAACGTCTTTCATATTGACGAGCTTCTCAAAGATGGCAGATATGCACTGTCGTCATAGATGAAGAAATGAAGGCCCTGAGAGGGAACCCCAGACGGTCTGATGTTGTACAGAGCAGACTAGAAGCCACACCCTGGATTGTAGGTCTTTCTCTAACAGTGGAAACTCGCTATGACCTGGGGCTACAGGGCAGGGCCCTGCCAAGTCAGTCACCTTAAGATCCCATCTAGAAAGCAGGAGGCCAGGAGGAAAGATGGTTCAGGGCTCTGCTGGGATTCTCAGACTTTGGCTATAATGCATTCAGCCGATCCTTCAAGTATGGCATAGGTTGCTATGGGACTCGGACACCAGCGGTGTGATTCTATCCTTAGCTTCCTGCTGGACTGGGCTGGGAGACTGAGCCTCTGAACTGTAGTCTGAACACTGAGTTAGCCAAGAAGCTTGCTTCCTGTGTACTCAGGAGATGGCCCCCATGAAGCACACAGAAACTGCTCTCATAGCTGAGACTGTTTCCCCACAGCCGTGGCGGGCCCTCTTGGAGCTGTCCTCTCCTTGGAAAGGGGCTTTCGCCAAGATGGACCTGGGTGCCAGCCAGCTGCTGAAGTTTCCAGCAGCAAAGCCAAAGGAAAGTGCTTCAGCGTGCAAGGAACAGGCCTTGGCCCTCCCTTCCCCCCATGTCTTCAGACCTGGGTCTCTGACTCCCTCACCCACTTCCCCATAGGCCCTCAGGCCTGGGGAAACCCTGAAGCTGGCTCTGGGCCCAGTCCTGGGGTAGATGTCACCTGCCCCCATGTGATGGGGGTTAGTTTCCATTTCCTGGAGAGAGCTGCACTTTTGTACCAAGGGGCCCCTGGTTGCCAGGGCAACAGCAGTGTTTCCTGGCGCTGAGCTAAAAGAGCTAGGTTTGCAGGCAGATCTCTGTCCTCCTCTGTCCCTTGCTGACTGCAGTTAGTGGGGATCATACTCGGGCAGTGGGGATGCAGAGGCAAGCAGGCCAAGTCCCTGTCCCCAGCTTGGTCCTGCTGCAATCAATGCTACCACCAATATGTCTGCTCTGCACTTGAGGTAACTCAGGTCCAGTCCCCCAGCATCCCTCCAAGGCAGGAAAGGGAGGGCCCCAGATTGTGCTTGACATAACCTTGAACTCAGAAATGAGTAGTAAGCCTTCGGTCACATAGCTAGTAAATGTCAAAACAGGAGTTCGGATCCAGGCCTGTCTGACTCAAAAACCCCCATTCACTCTGCGGTGTCACACCATGCCCAGTGACACCAGAGAGCAGGATTGTGTGCGGAGGTCCAGAGAGACTTCCTCTAAAGTTGAGGGTGGGGTGGGGGAGGATGGAGCTGCAGTGCAGGTCTCCGTAGCTCCACGTGCCTTTCTAGTTCATTCCTGTGGGTCTCACTGAGTAAGTATTTTGACTCTCACAAATCAATATGGAGATGCTGTTAAAGGTCAGCTTCCATGGCCTGCTCAGAGTGGCAGGCAGTGGTCCTCTGTGGCTCCTCACAGCTTACCTTGGGTCTTCTGCCTAACTGCTGAGTGCGCATGAGCCCAGCTCCCAGCTTTTCACGTATTTGTAGGTAATACACGTGCATCCCTCGTTCCCTCACTGTAGACTTTGTCCCTGATACCCCTAACCCGTAGTCCCTACGCAGTTTAATAAGATCAATGTGTCCCACGTGTTTAACTCTTCCCAGTCGCCTTTGTTCCATCAGAGTAAAACCACGGCGTCACAGTGGCCTCAGTCACTGGCTCTGACCATCCTGTCACTGTCCTTTCTGCCCCTGCTGCCCCCTCAGTCACCTGTCTTACTGCCCTAAGTGCCTTTATGAGACTCTGACTGGCCACCTGGGATTGTGCCCCATCACCTCCTGTCCCAGGATTGACTTTCCCTTGGGCCCTTATTGTAGCCCAGTGGGTGCTTCTCCCGTGGGTGCTCACAGTAACCCTGTGGGTGCTCATGTTAACCCTGTGGGTGCATTTGTCACTGGGCCCCATGAAGGTGGAATATTTCAGTCTCTAGTTATGTCCTACTGTGTCCTCTGGGTGCAGAGCTCTGCTCTGGGTGGGATAGATGGTGGATGAGCTGGGATGACATCCTCAGAAGGTCCCTGGGGGCTCCGGCTGCTTCCCATCTGCACACCTGGAAGCCCTGCTTCGGAAGCCAGTCTCAGTGGCTTGGAGAGAGGGCACACAGGGCGTATGCTACATACAGGCTCTGGACTCCACAGTTCTAAACTGTTTGGCTTTGGACCAACATTGCAGTACCCAGCCTCAAGTTCCCCTTTTCTAAACAAGGACACCTGCTACCTGTTGGAATTGCTGTGAGGATTAGGGAAGTGACAGGTACTGTGCAGGTAACTGGAGGCATATGGGTCGGTGCTGGGTCAGTGGTCATGCCCAGCCTTCTTCTCCAAGTCCCTTTCCTACCTTGGTGTGACTGGACACAGTCTAATCTAGCTGTTGTCACCTGGGGAAAAAATGACTGGCTCTAACAGGTGTCTGGGTGTGACTGAAACTGAGGGACTGGAGGGACTGGGAAACGACAGCTGGGGAAACTGGGGCAAATAGTGGAGAGTTAGTGTTGGGGCGAGTCTCACAGATTGTGTTTCTTTCCACAGTGGCTTCTACTGCAGAACCTGAGACCATGGCCAGAACAGCACAGGTAAGAGTTGCTCCTCAAGGTCCTGCCCTGCCCTCCTTGGCCCGAGGAGCCCCAGCCTCGCCAAACCTGCTTGCAGAGAAACCTATAGTGCCTTCAGATAATCCCTGGTACCTTGAGCTATCATCTGGTCCCTTCAACTGACCCCTGGTACCTTCAGATAACCCCTGGTACCTTTAGATAGCCTCTGATACTCTGGCACCTTTAGATAACCCCTGGTATGTTCTGCTAACCTCTGGTACCTTCGGTTAACCCTGGTACTTCAGTTAGCCCCTAGTTTCTTTAGTCCAGAAAGAACAGTTCTAAAGTCATAGCTTTTCATATGCAAGTCACCAATGATGATATACAATACCCCGAGCACAAAAGGTTGTGAACTGGCTCCTAGGACTAGGATGGGCTTACAGACTAGGAAGCGGAGGTCTGCAGGACTGGTTGAATCCAGGAGCCCAAATGATAGAGTCAGGGTTGTGCTTCTGTGAGCAGCTTTTTCTAGATTGTGTCATTCTTGGGCAGTTCTTCCCTACCTGGCGTGGTCATCACCTGCAGCTCCAGATTCCATTCTCCTGCCTTCATAGACCAGAGGGAAATCATCCCATGATTCCAGGTTTTGCCTTCATTGGCTGGCCTAGGTAGCATGCCTTTTGGAACAGAACATTAAATTGGACCCAGCTGAACTACATAGCTCAAGAATCATTCCTCAGGAAGGGAAATGGGCAGCTAGGCAGACAAAAAAGAGGAAGGAAGGGAGAGAGAGGGAGGGAGAGATGGGGAGGGAGAGAGGGGGAGGGAGGGAGAGAGGGAGGGATGGAAGGCAGGATGGAAGGAAGGCAGGAAGGAAGGAGGGAGGGAGGGAAGGAAGGAAGGCAGGAAGGAAGGAGGGAAGGCAGGAAGGATAGAGAAAGATCTCAAGAGAGCGAGTGAACAATGAATGAGGTCACTAGTGTCCAGGAAGGAAGGAGGGAAGCTGTGTGACCATCAAGCTGTCAAGCTGTGTGACCACCAAGCTGTGTGACCATCAAGCTGTCAAGCTGTGTGACCATCCTGGTGGGGCATAGAATTTGAGTCCAAATGGAGCATTTACTTTTGTGTGACTGTTGGAGTAAGGGTCCCTTTGGTCAGGGTTTGCCTAAGAGAGGTCCCAGTTGGCTGGCCTTACAGGACGAGGTGTGGTCACTGCAAGCATAGTGTTAGAAGGGGAGACTAAACTGAGGGACCCCTTTTGCTCTAACAGAACTCTCACAGAACAGTCTTTTTTCCAGATGGCTGAACTCAGTGCTAACTGCACATCATCCATTTCATGGCTTGACACGCCATGAACCAGGGATAGTTACAGCTTGCAGAGAGTAGTGTTTATATGATGCAAGACAGGCTCTCAAAATAGCCTTGCCTTGGCGGGGTCTCCCTCCTGGCCTCCCCAGGAGCACGCTTTGCCTCAAGCCTCTCTGACCAGGAAGCGTGTTTGTGGTTATGGGCAAAAGTCCAAGTCAGAGCTCTGGCTGTTCCCCTTTTCCTGTGTAAGCTCCCGCAGGAGCTAGGAGGCACTTGCCTTGCAGGATTCTGGATGACTCAAGCAATCAGGTCAGCCTGCAAGATCAGTGGGTCCAGGACCTGGGGTTCAGAGCTTTCAATCAGGGCCCATTAGCCCCATGCAAGCAAGTCTCAGGGTGGCTGGACCTGGGGGGGTGTCTTTCCTCCCATGGAGTAGGTCAGATACCCATGCACCACTTTGCTCTGATGGGGCATGAAGGAGGTCTGGGGCCAGCAGAAAGGTGCCCCCCCCCGTGCTAGGAGGCTTTGGGAGACAAGGGGATTTTGGAGGCTCTGGGAGGACTGGGTGGATCATAGCTGGGAAAGAATCCAGTGCAGTTTTGGGGAGGAAGAGCAATTCTGGGTGCTTGGCAGGCAGCAGCTGTGGGAGGGAGGAGCTTGCAGAAGACAGGGGTAGAGCCAGGCATGGTGGCACGGGCCTTTCATTCCAGTACTCAGGAGGCAGAGGCAGGCAGCTCTCTGTGAGTTTGAAGCCAGCTTATCTATAGTGAGTTCCAGGCCAGCTGGGGCTACATAGTGACACCCCTAAAAAAAAAAAAAAAACGCTAGAGAAGTGTGAGGAAGGTGATGGTCCTCTCTCTCCAGCTGCACGCGTGCACACCTACAGACACACTGCTCACTCTCCTGCAGTCCAGTCATCCCAGTTCCTTCCCCCATGATCCTGTACCCCCCGCCCCATCAACTTCCAAAGAGGTGAACTTGGGGCCCAAGGGTACAAAGAAGGAGTGCAATGCCACGGAAGGGCTGCAGTGTATGGCTCTGTGGCCTGTTTAGTAGTGAGGTTTGGGTTGGAGTACAATGATAAACATAGAAATGTGTGTGGAGGGGCCTGGACAGATGGCTCAGTGGTTAAGAGCACTGACTGCTCTTGCAGAGGACCTGGGTTCGATTCCCAGCACCCACATGGAGACTAACAACCGTCCATAACTCCAGTTACAGGGGAATCTGATTCTCTCTTCTGACCTCTGTGGGCATTGCACAACACAGGTGCACTTATATACATGCAGGCAATATACACATACACATAAAAAAAATAAGATATTTTTAAAAAGGTTGTATGAACAGGTGAGGGGGCAGGTGCACTTGCTGGGACCCGGGCAGCTGCAAGGTCCAACTGGCTGAACTCTTGCTCAGTCTAGGGTGGTAGCCTCACATACCTGCAGTGAATAGAGTGGGGCCTCACACCCTGGAGCCCCTGGGTCAGGCTGCTTACCACCTGCTGAGTGTTTCTGGGTAGAAAGCCCTTTCTCCCCTCTCCCTCCATCTCCAGTACCTGTAGCCAATTCTGTCTGCCTGGGGTGTGACAGGCCAATGACAGGTGACCCAGGCAGCTGCACAGGTGACACTTAGAGATGCAGACTTTCCACAGTGGGTGGGCCTGGGGCTAACGGCCTGTGGGAGCTTGAATTGGGTGGTTTAAGGGATCATTTATCTCTGTGTCTCTGTGTTAATGTCCCAGGCTAAGCCCCACTTCACTTACAATGACTGTGGCCATGAGCATCTGGGATCATGGGGCAGGCAAGCACTTAAAAGACTTTGCTGTCCTTGTGCAGAGAGCTTTGTGGAGGACTGAGCTAGCGCCTCCTTAGCTTGCTTCTCCATGAACGCTTTGGTTAGGCCTGTGTGGGCCGTTAGCCATCCTTCTGAAATGTACACATTGTCTGTCTTCTGTCACCTTCAGCCCATCCTCAAACACTGCTGGAAGCCATACAGTGTCCATGGAGGGAGGGGGCAGAAGAGGAGCCCCAGTAGGGAGGGAAGGGTGTCTGGACCTGGTCTTCCGCCCTGCATCCTGGGAAGACGCTTCTGTCTCTTCCCAGGCCCTCCAGGCAGCTTTTGAACCTAAGATCATAGAGACCTTAGACATTTGACTGTGAGCTTTCAGGAACCGTCTCAGAATCTGTCTTGACACTTGTCACCACCAACACACCCCCTGTGATGCTTAATCTCAATTGTTAACTTGGTGAGACAGGCCTCTGGGGGAGTAAGTTGATTCGGTTAATTGAGGTGGGAAAATTTGCCCACTTTGGGTGGCACCCTTCCCTGGGTTGGGGTCCTGGGATGGATAAAAAGGAAAACATGATCTGGGCACAAGCATTCATCTCTCTGGAGTTTTCTTTGTGTGTTTTTTTGGTTTTGTTTGTTTGTTTGTTTGTTTGTTTTTGGTATTTTTGAGACAACCTGGAATTCACTATGTAGACCAGGCTGGCCTCAAACTCACAGAGACCTACCTGCCTCTGCCTCCTGAGTGCTAGGATTAAAGGCATGGTCCACCACGCCCGGCCTATTCATCTCTCTTTTTGTTGACTGTGGATGCAGTGCAACCAGCTGCCCCCCCACCAACTTCCCCACCATGAGGGACTGTGCCCTTGAACTGTGAGCTCAAATAAACCCTTTCTCCCTTAAGTTGCTTTTGTCAGGGTATTTTATCACAGCAACAAGGCAAATAACTGAAACACTGCTACATGTCAACCTTGTGAAAGACAGAAGTCTGAAACCTGCTGCTTCTTGACTGCTTTGAACCTACACAGAAGACAGGTTACATGGTTGAGCCTGGTGAAAAAATGTCAAATGTTGGGAATAGTGTCGTGAGAATCAGTCCTGTTTAATGGACGGGACAGTGATGCTGGGTGCCAGAGCCTTGCTTTACCCAGGTCCTGACAGGAGGCACGCCCAGGGCAGCCGAGCAGGACCACAGGCCCTCAGCAAGCTCACAGCCCCATCTTCTGCATCCTGCTCCAGAGCATCCCCACGCAGCCTCTGTCCTCACACATGAGCTTACAGACTCTGGGCCTGGCTCCTAAGCACTGTAGAATCTGGGCTTACTCTCTCAGTGTTCCTCACTGCTCCCCAGGCCTCTGCCAAGTTTCCCATGTGGGATACTTTACCACCACAACCCCCGTAGCCCCTGGGTGGGGGCAGCCGTTGCTCATCCCGTAGAACTCATAGGAACTCTGACGTCATGTCCAGAAAGTCAAGTCTGATCTACCCAGCATGAGATTACACATCTATTTAGGAAACAAATACCAAGGGCATGTCTAGATGTTCCAGGTCCTGAGCTGTGGCCTGGAAATACATCAGTGAGCAAGATAGGTGCAGCCCCTCCCTTCACAGTGCTTCCTTCACTTTCTTCTCTGCCCCCGTGCTGCACTTAGCAGACCATATGTGGCTGCAGTTGCTCTGCATCTCCCTGTGTGACTGCGAGTTCTTAGAACTGCCTGAACCCAGCACTCAGTAGAGTCTCAGTGAGTGTGGCTTGGATGGATATGGATGGATGGATGGATGGATGGATGGATGGATGGATGGATGGATGGATGGATGGATGGATGGATGGATGGATGGATGGATGGATGGATGGATGGATGGATGGATGGATGGATGGATGGATGGATGGATGGATGGATGGATGGATGGATGGATGGATGGATGGATGGATGGATGGATGGATGGATGGATGGATGGATGGATGGATGGATGGATGGATGGATGGATGGATGGATGGATGGATGGATGGATGGATGGATGGATGGATGGATGGATGGATGGATGGATGGATGGATGGGCGGATGGGTGGATGGGTGGATGGATGGATGGATGGATGGATGGATGGATGGATGGATGGATGGATGACAGGTAGATAAACAGAGGAACAGATGTGTAACTATGGATAGATGGATATGTAGAGGGTGGACAGATGGATGAATGGATGGATGGATGGGTGGCTTGGTAGATGGGTGGATTGGTAGATGGACAGACACATGGACAGAGGGATGGATGAATGGATGGCTGGAGGACGGTGGCATTAATAGACAGATGGGTAGGTTGGTGGTTGGCATAGACTGATGAATGGAGATGTTTGGGTGGGTGGCTCTAGTTTCCCTGGAAACAAGAACCTGTGTGAGAAAGCACTTGGGATCCAGCAGAGGGGGAGCATTGGTGTCTGTGTTTAGCCTTGGAAGGTAGTCACAGAGAGGAAGCAGGTCTCCCTGAAAGGATCTGTCCTGACAAGGGAGGCGGGTGGCGCAGTCCAGTAACTTAGATGCTTAGTCCTCACGGGGACAGAGACAGGTGGGCATCCCTGGCAGGTAAGAAGCCATAGGCTATGTGATGTTTGTCCCTTCCCTTCGGACCTCCCAAATCTTAATGGTATGTGGCAGGGAGGGAGAAAACTTGGTCTGGTGTAGGTGCCATTCATCCCCTTCCCAGCCAGGCCTCTGGTGTTCGTGTCACCTGCCCTCTCTGATGTACAGATGGTCGTGTCACCTGCCCTCTCTGATGTACAGATGGTCATGTCACCTGCCCTCTCTTATGTGGGTCTTTAGGATCCCAAGGTGTTCTGCCCTCCTCCTCCAAGTGAGCCCTGGGAAGATGGGCAAGAGGCTGAACTAGAGAGGTGATAGACAGGTAGGCTCAGAACAGTGGCGAGAAAAGCATCAGGGGTCATAGCAACAGCTGCCTACAAAGGGTCCAGACAGACCCTAGAGGACCTGGCCCGTAAGAGGACCTTTCAAAACTGGACACTCTAACACTGGTACCAGCATCTCCAGTGCCCAGCAAGTGCTACTAGGAATCCGTGCTAGGAAGGAGTCAAATTGTACCCTCACCCCACCTGCCTTCCTCCTCAGCATCCCCCACCTCAGAAGGGAGTGACGTCATTCGTTCATCCATCTCAGTTAATGAGCCCTCTCTGGTTTCTGTTGCCAAGCTCATGCTAGGTGTGGGGATCCAGTTATTCCTGTGTTTAGTTGTGTCTTACTCATGACATCGTCCCTGTCTTGCAGGGAGCCAAGAACCAAAAAGCCAGGCATGGTGGCACACACCTGTAATGCTAGTACTTGACAGGTGGATCAGGAGTTCAAGGTCAGCCTTGGCTACATAGTAAGTTCAAGACTAGCCTGGGCTACATGAGACCCTGACCCTCCCCCCGCCCAAAGAATCAAAAACAAACAAAAAACAAAGGATCAAGAGGCAAGCTAGACTATAGGTCTTTAAGACTCTTTACAAAGCAGATAGTTTTCCCGTTAGCCTCTTGTTTTTCCTCTATCCTAGAATCAATAATGGAAATTCATATTTTCTGACATTGCTGCGCCAGAGTATTGAGAGGGAAACACTGAAGGGTTGGAAGTAAAATTCCAGCAGGACATCAGCTGCCTGATTCTGGTAATGAGGACTCGAAGGCTTCCCTTGTTCAGTCTCTGAGGTGTGAGTGCACAGACGGGCACTGGCCCTCGGGTCCCTGGATCAGACTGTCTATCCAGGGTGGCACTGTCCTCACAAATGTCACAGGCTCTAGGAGGTCTGAAGAGAGACAGAGGGAGTCTAGGTGGAGACAGGGCCAGCATGCACTGTCCCTTGCATGTGTTCTGGCCTAGTATTTGGCCTGTTACACTTTCTTTCTCTGCCCAGGGGTGAGATCAGATAGCAGGGGATTCAGGGGTGGCGGGAAGAAGGCTGTGTCCCTTTCTGATCACCTGCCCTGGGAGAACTTTAAATAGCAGCCCTGTGCCCACGCATGCATGCCTTGGAGGAGTCAGCTTCTGTGACCGAAGACAGAGGGCAGACAGATGCCTGGCTGGGTCCCAGGTGCAGCCACTGGGGACTGAGGCGAGCTTGTCCAAGCCTCACTCTTTGAAGGCACAGAGTGGGCTCTTCTGCCCCCAACAACTCTGTCCACAGAGTCTTTTCTGATTTATTTTTATAGCTAGTATTGGGTTTGGTTGTTTTCTGTTACCTTGCTTCTTACCTAAGGTGTTTATCACAACCATTTATTGTAATGTGAGCTCATCTCTGCCATTGAGCTGGGGGCTCACGAAAGACAAGGAATAGATCTTTCTTCCTGCATCTTCAGCCCCTGGTAGTAGCACAGATGAAAGTGCTGTGTGCCCAGTGACAGTCTCTGGTATACCAGGCTTTCCTGGACCCTGCACTTCTCTGTGCCATGTGGCTGACCCACATCTGACTCCTCTCTGAAGCAACTCATTGTGCATTCAGGTTTAGATTGGATGTCTGAGGTCTCCTGGCTCCCTGCCCTCTTCTCCTAGCCTGCAAGGACTCTGCCAGCCTGTCCTTAGATGCCAGTTCACAGCTCAGTTTACTGGGCTCCCAGGACCAGCACTTGTCTTGGCATTGAACCTGAAAGTAGCTCTGGGTCCCCTGGGCCCAAGGCCTCCCTCTGAGTAGCTGGCAGCTGTGAGGTTTGTGGAGCTTGAGGATGGAAGGGATCAGGGAAGAGGGCCTGTGTGGCTTCCTGTCTGAAATGGTCCTGGAGCTTCTGGTTTTTTAATTGTTTATTTATTTATTTTTATGTGTATTAATTTTTGTCTGCATGAATGTATGTGCAACATGTGCATTCAATCCTTGTGAATGTCAGAAGAGAACTTTGGATCCCCTGGAACTGGAGGTACTGAGTTGTTAGCTGCCATGTGTGTGCTGGGAACTGAGCTTGGGTCTTCTGCAAGAGAAGGCAGTACTCTTAACTCCTAAGCCATCTCTCCAGCCCCTAGCCAGACTTAAAGTTCTCCAGGAGGTGGCAGGTGGTGTGGGGCTGTGAACCTTCTTGGTCAGCCCCATCCCTCCCCACCCGCCTTGGGGAAGCGGCACTGTCCTTTGAACTGGCTGCAGCAGGCAGTTCTAAAGAGTCAGCCACACCCTTTCCCGGGTGACCAGCATTTAGATTTTCTAGGGAACGGAGCTCAGCCTGTACCAGTGCTATTGGTCTTTCCTGTCTGAGCCTAAGGTCATCTCTCACCAACTGCCTTTCTCTCCACAGAATGCCAAGTACCGGGGCTCCATCCATGACTTCCCAGACTTTGATTCCAATCAGGATGCTGAGGCTCTGTACACAGCCATGAAGGGCTTTGGTGGGTATCAGCCCCATGAGTGGATCCTTCAGGGAGGACGGTAGATGGGAGCTTGCTGGTACCATTTGGAGTCTATCCCAGAGCCTTTGTTATTATTCCATGACCTTTCTAGGGAGATATGAGTGACAGGTAGGGAACCAGTGACAGACCACAAAACTGATTCTACCCAAGTCCAGTTTGGTGAACCAGTTAGTTTATTGGGGTTACTTACAGGAGCATAGGAGACCCCCCCCCCAAACAACTGCATCACCAAAAAGCCTACCCTAGCATATATGATGACTCAGGAAAGCTACATGTCTGAAGCCCCGCCCAACTTGCAAGTGTTACTGCTTTTATAACCTTGGGGAGGGGCCTTGTGATTCTTGTATCTTTCTGAGTTTTCTCTTATTATTGTTGTTGTTTTACGTGTATGAGTGTTTTGCCTACATATATATAAGTTCACCAGCATGTGTACAGTACCCATGGGGGCCAGAAGAGAGTGATGAATCACCTGGAACTGGAGTTATAGGTGGTAGCTGCCATGTGGGTGCTGAGAACCAAACCTTGGTCCTCTGAGAACAGCCAGTGCTCTTAACCTCTGAGCCATCTCTCCAGCTCCCCTTTTTGAGTTTTCTGAGCCTGCTAAATTTCATGAGCTTTCTGAGCATTGAGCTAGGTTCATTTTATGAACTTCCTGAGGGAAGAAGCCTCCCTCCTCCTTGAGGGAATGTCTCCTTTCCAGGGGCGCAGCTGCACAGCAGCTGTGGGAGGGGGTGGGGGAAGGGTGCTGAGATGGTGCAATGTAGTTTTGTTTCCTTCCCAGTTGCTAGGGATTGGCCCCAGGACCTCACACATGCTAGGACGTGATATACTTCTGAGGTCTGTGAAATATTTTCCATAATTTTACAATAAAATAATGTTAAACTACTAAAGAGATATAGCAGAATCCCACACACAGACCTACCACGGGACTTAGGGAACAGGCCTGATAATGTAGCTGAGCACTGTGGTCTGTCAGTGCCCTGGTGATGACTCCTAACATTCCTCAGGGTAACCACTGCCCTGAGTTTCTTGGGCCCGGCTGGGGGAGGTGGGTGAGAGACAGGTCTCCCAGCTGGCCTGGAACTTGCTGTATAAACCAGGCCTGTCTCGACCTCACAGAGATCTACCTGCCTCTGCCTCTCAAGTGCTGGGATTAAAGGCGTGTGCTACCATGCCTGGCCCCTGCCCTGAAGTTATGCTTACACAGCCTTTGCTTCTTTGAGATTGGAAGGACACTATGCTGGGTTAGACATCTGGGTTTTCTAAGTCAAGTGCATTGTGAGGCTATAGGCAAGTCTTCATCTGTCTCTGTGCCTAGGTTTCTGTACTTGTGCCATAGGGAGCTGGATTGGGGACCCTCTGAGCTTACATGTTGTGGGTGCCATGACCAATCACAGCGGGGACTTTGTAGGTCCCTGTAGACTCTTACCTGTCGCCTACCTCCTTGTTGGGAGCAGAAGGCTCCTGCCCATAGCTGCAGGAGCTACAAGGCCTCTGGCTGGGTGAGGAAGCAGGCATTGGGGGCTTCCCGGAGGCAGACTGGGTAGGTGACAGTGTAACTAAACACAATGAGCTTGTGTCTTGATGAGTACAAAGTCAAAGTCAGAGTAAACACAGCTGAGACAAAGGAACAGAGGAAGTTTTGTTACCTGCATTAGGCAAGAGTCATTCCCAAAGGAATGCTCTCCCCAAACAGAAGCAGCGTGGGGATTTTATTCAGGGGGCCTATGTGTGTTCACCTACAGGTGGGCCCATTCCTGAGAATGCTTATTTTAGGAGTACATGCTCCATTTACAGTGGATGGACAGAAATGCCTCTGGGCAGGTTCCACTTACATCATAAAGTATAAGCTGAAAATAAAGGAGAGGAGATTTTGGAGACACTGGCACAGATGTCTGCCCCGAAGGTCTGACTTGCCTTGTCACCAACAACAGTGTCCTCCGTGTTACAGGCAGTGACAAAGAGTCCATCCTGGAGCTGATCACCTCCCGAAGCAACAGACAGAGGCAGGAGATCTGCCAGAGCTACAAGTCCCTCTACGGCAAAGTACGCAGGGCGGCTGGACGTTGGGCTGGGGTGGGGGCTGTCACTCCCCCTGACATCATTCAGGATCCTTCCCAATCCTGCTCCAGCTCTGCCTACATACTGGCTCTGCTGTTCTTCCTCTGGGTGCTCGTTTGCTAAGACCACATCAAAGAAGTAGACCTACATGATGGCCACTCTGTGCACTCCCAGGGCCTGAGAGAGACTCACAGAAAGGAAGACAGACAGTGATGGGGGAGGGTAGTGCTGTGGACTCGGATGAACCTGCATGGCTTACTTGTAGCTGTGTGAAGTCTCGAGGGCCTTTTCTAAGGAGTGATGGTAGTGTCCTTCCAAGAGCGGGATTCATTCAGCAAGGTGACCAAGAGGGCCTGGCAGAGACAGTACTCACTTATCCCTTCTCCCCATCCTGGGGCTCTGCCACCCCCAGGACCTCATCGCAGACTTGAAGTATGAGCTAACGGGGAAGTTTGAACGGCTGATCGTGAACCTGATGAGGCCACTTGCCTACTGCGATGCCAAGGAAATCAAAGACGCCATCTCGGTAAGAAGCAGAGGTGTGGGGGCGGTAGAGGGATGGCTCAGCGGTTAGAGCACTGATGCTCCTGCAGAGAACCCAGGTTTGGTTCCCAACACCCACATGGGACCAACAACCATTCAGTACTCCAGTTCCAGGGGATCTGACGCCCTCTTCTGACCTCCCTGGGCATTGCATGACACGGGCGCTTTCACATGCATGCAGGCAGTATACTCACACACATAAAAGGAAACAAAATAAAATAAAAAAGCACCACACCCCCAGTGGCTGTATTCTGCTTCAAGAAGCAGCTTGTCCTAGAGGGGCTCCCATTATTCGCCAGCTTGACAGATGTAGACAGATGTCAGGGAAAAGCAGACTCATGAAAGAGACCCTTGGTCCTGATCCCCACACCAGGCAGTACAGTCCTGAAAAGACATGGAGACCAATGGTATCCGACACACCAGAGGCCGAGGGCACAGTAGAAAAGTCAGCAAGGCCAAGCCCTGGGCTTGAACAGGCCAAGCTGAGCCCCAAACCTGCAGAGGCTTCAGCACATGCGAGTGCTGAGGGTCAAGCAGGGTTTCACCTGGTTCAGGCAGAGCTGCGCTTCTAGGTAGAAGGGGTCGATGCCCTGGTGGTACAGGCCTGTAATCCCAACATGGGAGGGAAGGCCAGAGGATGGTAAGTTCAAGGCCATGGCCTGAGTTACCTAAAAGAAAAAAAAGGCAGCAGGGGCTGGGGAGCAGCCGGGGACCGGAGAGACGGCTCAGCAGTTAAGAGCACTTGCTGCTCTACCAAAGGACCCCAGGTCAGTTTCCTGCATGGCAGCTAACAACTGTGCATAACTCCAATATTCCAGTTCCAGGGAACCCGATGCTTTCTGGCCTCTGAGGCACTGCATGCATGTGGTATGCTTACATACATGTAGGCAAAACACTCATATACATTAAATAAAAAGTTAAATACTTTTATAAGATGGGAGGTGGGCACGGCTTATTGGGTAGGTGCTTGCTTCGCAAGCATGAGGACTTGAGTTCAAATCCCTGACACTCATTTAAAAACCAGGGTTCCCTCGAGATAGGGACCATCCTGCCCCACCCACAAGTTACTCTCTCTTGCAGGGCGTCGGCACAGATGAGAAATGCCTCGTTGAGATCTTGGCTTCCCGGACCAATGAGCAGATCCACCAGCTAGTGGCCGCATATAAAGATGGTGAGATGGACTGGGAGACCTCTTGGCGTACAAGGGTGGGGATACCAAGACTAGCCACCCAAGTTCCCTCTGACTCTGTCCACCCTTCCATCCATCTGCCCATCTATTCACTATCCACCCACCAATCTATCATCTATCCACCTGTCCACCACCCATCTATCCACCCATCCATCCACCCATCTACCTGCCCACCCACCCACCCATCCATCCATCCATCCTCCATTCGTCTACCATCCATCCACCTACCTTCCATCCATCTACCCATTCATCCATCAGCCTATCCATTTATCCATCCATCTGCTCATCCATCTACCTACCTGTCCATCCATCCATCCATCCATCCATCATCCATCCTCCATTCGTCTACCATCCATCCACCTACCTTCCATCCATCTACCCATCCATCCATTCATTAACCAGTCCATTCATCCATCCATCAATCCATTTAGTCATCCATCCATCAGCCTATCCATTCATCCCTCTGTCTGTTCATCTACCTGCCTGTCCACTATCCATCCATCCATCCATCCATCCATCCATCCATCCATCCATCCTCCATTCACCTACCATCCATCCATCTACCTTCCATCCATCTATCCATTCATGCATTAGCCTGTTCATTCATCTGTCCACCTATCTATTCATCCATCTACCCATCCTCCATCCATCATTCATCAATCCACCTACCTTCTAGCCATCCATCCATTCATCAACTTACCCATTCATCCATCTATCCACTCATTCATCCGTCCACCCACCTATCAATACATCCATTCATCCACCCACTCACCATCCATCCATCCATCTATTCAGAAAGTACCCAGTCTATGCTGGGTAGTGTGCAGTTCTCAGGATACGGCAATAGGGGAAAACAGTGTATTCCTTCCTGCCTAGACCCTGTAGACTCATGAGATAATAGTGGGTTTAAGAGAAACATGACTGAGACACACAGTGGTCAGATTTGATAAAGGAAATGAACAAGACTTTCCCAAAACAGGACCTATGTCAGGCAGGTAGTCACAGAACACCTGACTTGGAGAAAATGGGGAGCTGGTTGTATAGAGAGTGAAGAGATGTTCCTTCTGTCAGAAGGACCAGCCAGTACCACATCCCCGAGGCAGAAGTAAGCCAGGTAGCCCTGGTGAGGCTGGAGAGGTAGAGGACAGGGCAGCATCACACAGGGCCTTTGTAGCCAAGAGACAGGAGATGTTTCACTCTGAATCCAAGGGAAAGTAGGGGATGTTGCAATCAGAATGGGCCTTGTGACAGCCACTTTTGTCATTATAGCTGGGAGAACCTTCTGAAAGCTTGTAGCTGCTGTTCACATGAGGGGTGATGATGCAGTGGGCTGGTGCAGAAGCAGAGGATTGTGTCACAGCACCAGCCGCTGAGAATAGACACCTGCATCTCCTGCCACAGCGGCCATGCAGACAGGATGGGGCTTTGTAACAATAGCTAATCATTTGGGAACAGCAAGCAACTTCTATCCCAGAAGGCTGAGGATGAGACTACAGCCTGTGTTCTTCCTACAGCCTATGAGCGGGACCTGGAGTCTGACATCATTGGAGACACTTCTGGCCACTTCCAGAAGATGCTGATCGTGCTGCTCCAGGTTGGTCCATGGGCAGTCCAGGCCCTTCCTACAGCTCTCCCACTGTGGACCACAGACTCCATTCCCTGCCCCTCACACAGGAGTGGTGCTTGGTGGAAGGGCCTCCTCTTGGCTGCACCTCCCTTCCTGCCCACCCTCTATGCTTTATTCTCTGGAGCCTAGAGGCCCCTCTGGCTCTCCTGGGTGTAGGCAGATCCTAGGCTCTGTCCATCTGTCCATCAGTCCATCTTCATGCCCACACCCTGCTTTGCACAGACTTGTGACCTGAGGAGACTTGCACGCCTCACTCATAGCCTACATGAGATCTCAAAAAAACAAAACAATGAAGCCAAAAGTGGTAGCACACACTTTTAATCCACTTGGGAGGCAGAGGCAGGCCAATCTCTGTAAGTTCAAGGCCAGCCTGGTCTACATAGCAAGTTCCAGGCCAGCTGTGGCTACAGGGAGACCCTGTCTCAAAAAGACCCAACCAAAACAAATAAACAGAAAAAAGAAAAAAAAAAAAGGCCGGGGGGCTGGAGAGATGCCTCAGTGATTAAGAGTGCTTGCTGCTCTTCTAAAGAACCCAAGCACATGTCTGGCTGAAAACCACCTATATCCAGCTCCAGGGACACCCTCTTCTGGCCTCCATAGGCGGCTACAGGGAGACCCTGTCTCAAAAAGACCCAACCAAAACAAATAAACAGAAAAAAGAAAAAAAAAAAAGGCCGGGGGGCTGGAGAGATGCCTCAGTGATTAAGAGTGCTTGCTGCTCTTCTAAAGAACCCAAGCACATGTCTGGCTGAAAACCACCTATATCCAGCTCCAGGGACACCCTCTTCTGGCCTCCATAGGCACCTGTACTCACATGCAACATGCACCACACAGACACACAGACACACAGACACACACAGACACACACACACACAATTAAAATTAAAAATTAAAAAAAAATAGCTTTCTAAGATGAGCCACCCTGAGTCTGTACTTACTGATTAATATGCATCATTACTATAAGTGTCTGTTGCTTTGTTTGTAAATAAAAACCTTTGCTCAAGATGTACATTTCCAAAGCTCAGCATGCTTGTAATCTCAACACTTGGGAAGTGAAGGTAAGATTGCCATGAGTCCAAACCCATCCTGAGTTACACAGTGAATTCCATGCCAGTCCGGACTATAGTGCTGGATCCTCTGGAACTGAAGTTACAGACAGCCACCACGTGGGTGCTGGGAATCAAACCCAGGTCCTCTGCAAGAGCAGCCAGTATTCTTAACCACTGAGCCATCTTTCCAGACCCTCAAAAAAAATTTTTAAAGAAACAATTTTATGTTAATTATTAGCATTAAAAAATGGGAAAAGTGCTCAAAAATCAAATTTCTGGATTACTTTGATAATAGAAAGTTTTGACAGTAGCAGGTCCTGCAGTGGCTGAAAATTCTCTCTCCCCAACCCCCACCCCCACCTGCTTTACCCTGTCTTCCATCTGCCTCACTCTGTGGGGGTCTGTGACCACTAGCACTGAGGGGACAGGCATTGCTGTGACTGAAATCCAGCCCCAGGGACCACACTGTCTGAGGTTTGCATATACGGCAGGCCAGCGCTTGGTGCCCTCTTGCCAATCTTGTCATCCCCCTCCCCCATTTTATACCATATTCCCTTCAGTTTGCCTCTTCTATCACCATGCTCCATGTTAACCAACCGGGAAGTTACCAGGATTGGGCAAGTGTGACCTTTGCCCCATTTCCAAAACTGCTTATTCTGGGGAGGAGATTCCTACCCTGCATCTAAGAGCCAGGAAAATTGTCTCCACATCTTAAAAGTGGCAGTGACGAGACACTGATTACAGACATGCCGGCTCTGTCTCAGACCCCAAGAGTCCAGGGCTTTGAGGCCCTGAAACACACAGCATCAGAGGAAGAGGCCAACTGTAAACCCTGGTTTTACTGGGCATAAGACCCAACATGGCTAGCCCTGTTCTTCACGAGGCTTGGTGTTGTTCAGCCGCCCCTGTCAGGGGTGCAGGGCCTGGGCAGAGCAATAAAATCACCAGGAGGATGTGAATTTTTACATCTTAGGAGCTCAGATCTTGGACCTCAATTCCCAAATCCTCATGGATAAGTTCTTAGCTTAAGCAATGGGAGCCCCTAATATTAGCCCTCAGATATGCACACCTAAACTGGGTGTGGTTACACATGCCTGTAATCCCAGTGCTCAAGGGGCACAGGCAAGAGGATCAATGAAGGCCAACCTGGTCTACATAGCAAGCTCTAGGCCAGCCAGAGCTACACAGTGATACTTGTACCCTTCTTTACCCCGGGGCATCATTGTGAAAGGTCCTGGGCAGTGCCAGGACCTATGGCAGGGCTATCCAGAGCTCTGTCTTCACAGTAGAGGGCATATGCTTGTTCCTCTGAGATGGGGGTGTCGGAAGGACCTTGGTTATTTCCAGGACGCCCGTTAGGCGTCCTAGAGAGAGGCTCCCTACGACTCTCTACAGAACAGATGCTGAATGCTTCTCCTGATGCTGCTGTACTCCTCAAGCCATCAGGGTTGCCCCGCCACCTCCGTCCCCAGCACTGGCAGTCAGGCCTATGCTCCTACCCCAGGCTTCATGCATTTGAAACATACTCTTCCCTGTTTCTCCGTCCAGGGAACCCGGGAGAGTGATGATGTCGTGAGCGAGGACTTGGTCCAACAGGACGTCCAGGTATAAACGAGCACTGATGGAGGGTCCACAGCCAGGAGCCTTGGGAGGTGGGAAAGAGCAGGGGCCTCAGGTCGGGCTGGAGGTGGAATGTGTGTATCAGGCACATGAGTCATGGTGTTTGTACAAAGCTTCCTGGATAAAACATTTTGGCATCTTTAAAGATAAACAGCATGTGACATTGGCAAGTATTTTGGAGTGTTACTAATTGATTGATTTCAGTTAATCAGGCTTATTGAAGTAACACACCTACTATGTGCCAGGTGCTCTGCCTAGCATAGGATGGTGACTCATGAACTATAGAAGGGACAGACAAATGTTAATCCCACCCACCTTCTGCCAATCATCGTACGGTCCAAGTGTTTGGAGCCCTGTGTGCCAGGGGCACTACAGGGGCTGAAAGGGAGAGCTGTAGTAGGATGTAGCCTCTGTGGAGGAGCCAGGCCATGGTGTGAGACAGATCTGTGAAGAAGCCACTGTCACAGTGGGTCAGTGCTATAAAGAAGCAGGGGTCAGGGAGACAGCTCAGCTCATAAAGTGCTTGCCGTGCACACAGGGGCCAGGACCTGGGCTTGCTCCCCAATACTCACGTAAAAGCTAGAGTGTAGCAGCATGCACCTGTAATCGTAGTACCAAGAAGTGGGGACCGGGATCTCTGGGGCTCACTGACTAGTCAGCCAGAGCAAATCTGCAAACCCTGCGTGCCAGCAAGAGACTCTGTCTCAAAAACGAGACAATTCCTGAAAATAACACCTGGAACCTGGTTGGCTTCTGCCCTCACACAACGTGTGCACATGCCTGCACTTACACACACACATATACACAGAGAGAGGGACAGGACGGGAGGAAAGAGAATAGTATCTGGAGAGAAAAGGTAACATTAGTCTGGGCCATGGAGGCTGAGGAGGAGCTGGGGGAATATGCAGAGGCCTGGAGGGTACCCAGTGACTGGTGTGTTCAGGGTCAGGCAGCCTTTCTTAGTGCTGTGTTCTGTCTCCCCAGGTTTGTTCCTTCCATTAAATCCCTTCTTCCCTCTAGGACCTGTATGAGGCGGGGGAACTGAAATGGGGAACAGACGAGGCCCAGTTCATTTACATCTTGGGAAATCGCAGCAAACAGCATCTGCGGTTGGGTGAGTTCCCAGAAGAACTGCGGTGCCTCCCAGGGGTCATGTGAGAACCCTTCTCTTCCTTTCCTCTTGTGGTACACAGAGGTCACTTCATCTCCAACCCTAACACTAGTTTATCCTTTACCTCAGTCATTGGCGGGAGAGTACCAGCCCTGCTCATGTTGGAGAATGAGGTCGAGTCCTTCACAACAGACACACACAACTGACAGTGGCTGAGGATGTGTGTCACTTCCCAGCTGCCACCAGCAAAGCCCCAGCCCCAGCCTCCCGTTAGCATCTGGGTCCTGGCTATTGTGCCATCCCACTGAAAAGTCTCTGTTCATTTTGTTGTTATGGGAGCACCATCAGATGTCTGTCTGTCTCTGCCTCCCCAGTGTTTGATGAATATCTGAAGACCACAGGGAAGCCCATAGAAGCTAGCATTCGAGGGGAGCTGTCCGGGGACTTTGAGAAACTGATGCTGGCTGTTGGTACGTCCTGATGGTGCATTCATGGGGATTGCACCCCATGGATTCTGGGATGCTAGTCCAGGAATGGAAAGGAGATGTCAGTGGTGTGGAGCTGAGATGGAGAAGCAGGTGGGCTGTGAGCCCTAGAGGCATGGCTGAGTGGCCTGGCTGAGGCTGGGGGTGGTGGGTGGTGGGTGGGGATGGGAAGGAAGGTGAGCCCCAAACACTGATGTCCTCCCAGGCTCTTGTCCAATGTAACAGATAGAAAGCACCCAGCTCTGGTTGGGATAATGGTCATCAAAGACCTTGGAGGGGTCTGTTTGCAAGGCACCATGCTGTGTTCAGTCTTTTAAGAAAGGGCAGGGGCCTGCACCACATTTAACTAAACAGCTGAAGAAACTGAGTCTCACAGAGGCTGAGTCCCAGGCAAAGCCCCTTGCCGAAGAGTAGCTTTGTAATGGATAAGGGGTTCCTTGATGTGTAAGGGACATGAGAAACTGACGATTCTGAATTCAAACCCAGGGCCTCTCCCTTGAGTGCTGCTCAGCTAGGGCGGGCTGCTTAGTCTGGCTGGGTCTTGTTTTCTTCATCTGTTAAGTGAGGGAAGGAGGAATGGGCTGCCTGTCCTCAGTTCTTTGCCAGTCTGATGTTCTGAGAGTCGGTATGATTGGGCCACAGATGGTAAGTTAGTTGTTGTTTTGGTTTCGTTTCATAAAGCCCTGGTCTCGTATAGCTCAGGCTAGCCTTGAACTCAGTATGCAGGTGATGCTGACCTTGACCTTCTGATCCTCCTGCCTCTACATCCTGAGTGCTGGGATTATAAGTGTATATGGGCCATCACACCTGGTTTATGGAGTGCTGGGGATTGAACCCAGGGCCACATACATACTAGGCAGCATTCTACTATTGAGAGCTAAGTCCCTTTTTTCTTTTTTGAGGCAGAGTCCCAGGCTAGCCTCAGACTCACTGTGTAGCCAAGGATAACCTTGAACTTCTGATCCTCCTGCCCTCACCTCCAAAGTGCTGGGATTATGGGTAAGCATTGCTCCCGCTCCCGCTGGAAGGGCAGAAGCTCTCTGAGGCTGAGGGCCATCTGAAGTCAGGATTCTTCCTGCCTAGAACTTGGTGCCCTCTAAGAATTAGAAACAAAAGAGCTGGGCATGGTAGCATCCACGTGTGATCCCAGCACTCAGGGAGGCTGAGCAGGACTGCAAGTCTGAGCCCTACCTGGGCCACAAGACCAAATTCAAGGGCAGCCTGGACAACTGAGCAAAACCTTGTTCCAAAATTAAAAGTAAAGACAGGACTTGGGACATAGTTCAGTTGTAAAGCACTTGTCTAGCATGCCTAGCATGCCTGAGGCTGTAGGTTCAACCCCCAGTATTTCAAAGGAATGGAGGGAGAGAAGAAAGGAAGGGGACAGGCCCGCTCTGCCGTGTCTTCCATTCAGAGCTGGTGGTGTGACTCTTCCTCCTCTTCCCTCTTTCCAGTGAAATGCATCCGCAGTACCCCAGAGTATTTTGCCGAGAGGCTCTTCAAGGCCATGAAGGTATGTGGTGGGATTGGTGAGAACTGAGGGAGGGAGCTTGTGCCCAGTCCTAGGCTCTGGCAAATCTTTGGTGACCCCTGGACAGAACCTGGTGTAGTTTGGATTCTGTTGTGATAAAACACTCTGACCAAAAGCAACTTAGGGGAGAAAAGGATTTATTTAGCTTATGCTTCTTGGTCATAGGCCATCCCTGAGGGAAGTTAGGGTGGGAACTCAAGCAGAAAACATGGAGGAACACTGCTCACGGGCTCACGCTCAGCTGGCTTTCTGAGGCAGCCCAAGCCCACCTGCCCAGAGCATGGTGCGGCTCCCAGTGGGCTGTGCCCTCCTACATAAATTAACAATCAAGACAATCTCCCGCAGACCAGTCTGATCTGGGAGCTCCCTCAATTGAAAGTCTCTTAGGTGGCTCTGGGCCCTGTCAAGTTAGTAGTTAAAGCTACCTAGGACAGAGCCTTTAGAGATCAGCCACAGCAATGACCTTGAGGAGGGTGTTTTGTGTCCTGGGTAAGCTCTGGGGCCTGGGATTTGATGGTAGCTTGCTCCTGATCCACCCAGCCAAATGAACTGGCAGCCCAAACTTTGAAAAATTAGTAATTAAATCTGGGCGAAGCGGTGCCCTCCTGTAATCCTAGGTCTTGGGAGGATGGGGCAAAGAGATCAGTAGTTTGAGGGGCTATGTAGTGAGACCTTGTCTCAAATATAAACCAGTAGGGGCTGGAGAGATGGCTCAGTGATTAAGAGCACTAGCTGCTCTTGCAGAGGTCCTGGGTTCGATTCCCAGCACCCATGTGGCAGCTAACAACTGTCCGTAACTCTAGTTCCAAGGGATCCAACACCCTCTTCTGACCTCCGAGGGCATTATATGACACTGGTGCACTTACATACATGCAGGCAATACATTTACACACATAAAATAAAATTTTTTTTGGTCTTTTTGAGACAGGGTCTCCCTGTAGCCCCAGCTGGCCTGGAACTTACTATGTAGACCAGACTGGCCTTGAACTCACAGAGATCTGCCTGCCTCTGCCTCCTGATCGAGCACTGGTATTAAAGGCATGCAGTACCACACCCAGCAATAAAATAAAAATAATTTTTAAAAAAAGAGTATTAATAAGTAATGAACCAAAATGTTTCTGTGCAGGTCAGAGCACTCTAGAAAACATGTTCACATCTATCAAGAATCTCTTAGCAGTCAGCAATGCTAATTATTAGGACCAGGTGGTTGGTTCTACTCTGGGTGTGTTCCAGAGAACAGTATTTCCCAGGCTTCCACACATAGGACGCAGAGACACGAGTGTCATTCCCAAGACACACCAGCAAATATGAACACAGTCATTTGCTACCGGAGACCCAAGGCCCAGGCACTCAGGCTGTCCCTGTCCTGTTTGGCCACCCCATGAGGGTAAAATGGACAGTCAGCTGTCTACCATGCTCCAGCACCATAGTGGGGTTGTGCTGCTTATAGAATAAGGACAGTCGGCAGTGAAATAGAGAAGGTCACATGAAGGTCGCCATCTGCCATCTTTGTTTCTAGTTTGAATTTTTATTATGAAAATGACATCTCTGCCCAAGTTGGCTTCTGGTGTCACCTCAGCCTCCACTTCAGGTCCTCTTGCTCATTCCCTCATGCCTTCCAGGGCCTGGGAACTCGGGACAACACCCTGATCCGCATCATGGTCTCCAGGAGCGAATTGGACATGCTGGATATCCGAGAGATCTTCCGGACCAAGTATGAGAAGTCCCTCTACAGCATGATCAAGGTCAGTAGGTCTGGGAGGCGGGTAGGGAGGGCCTGGGAACCTCTCCTGAGAGAGAAGGCCCTTCAGCAAGAGCTAGGCTAGTCTTGGAATGGCCGGGATCCCTCGCCTTAGGTCATTTTCCAGGAAGTTCCATCCTTAGGGAGCTGGTGACAGATGAGGCAAAAAAGGAAGGAGAGGCTGGATCCTGCAGGGCACACGGTTAGACTTAGGGACCAGGGCGCCCTCCCAGGGTGGACAGCATTCAGTCCTGGGGGAGGGGGGTAAGAAGCTCTTTGAGAAAAAGGTGAGAGTTAATTGGAAAACTCCCCAGTGACGGTGGCCATCTGAAAAGACCCATCAGATATAATAGTTCTACAAGGATAACGGGAAAGGTCCAGTTTCCTAAAGTATGTTTCCAGAACAGCATTTATGTATGCTACCTGTTCTATGGGAAAATAGTTCATAAAAATCTAGAATTGCCTGGTGTAGTGGCACATGCCTTTAATCCTAGCTCCCAGGAGTCAGAGGCAGGTGGATCTCTGAGTTCAAGGCCAGCCTGGTCTACATAGTGAGTTCCAGGCCAGCTGGGGCTACAGGGAGACCCTGTCTCAAAAAGATTAAAAAAAAAAAATCTAGAAGAATCAAAGCTGTTCCTTAGTATCTTTACCTCATAGTCATTACTATTTTTGCAGTCTGTTCGGAAGCTTCAAAGAATATGGACTAGGTCATTTATATCAGTATATGAATTTATCAACTATTTGTTTGACTCTATATGTATGACTGTGTCTTATTATATATCCCTGACTGGCCTGGAACTCGCTCTGTAGACCAGGCTGTCCTCAAACTCACAGAGATTGTCCTGCCTCTGCCTCCCGAGTGCTGATTTAAAGGTGTGCACAACACACCTGGCAGCTTCCCAGTTCTCTTTTGTTCCTGGAGCCCTACTTCCGTTAAATATTTCCTTGGGAGGATTGGACCAGGGACTCGGGACAGTATGTTGGGCCTCGGGGAGGGCAGCCAGCATCTCTTCTCTTCTCTGTAGGGAGTCAGCATGGCCCCAAATTGTCATCTTGGAAGTATTTATACCAGAAATTAGCAAATGATCCGAACCAGAGACTCGTTCTTCCTGTTTTTTTTCCCTAAGATCTGGTTGTTCCAAAGTAGTCAGCACACCACAGTTCCATGCTCAGCCTTCCCTTCTTACCCAGGAAGAGTTGGGTTTGAGGTCACTGATTTTTCCCTTCTTCCTCCCCAGAATGACACCTCTGGAGAGTACAAGAAGGCTCTGCTGAAGCTGTGTGGGGGAGACGATGAGTGAGTGCCCCTGGGTCCTGCCCCAGCCCCTGCCCTGTGACTCTCCCAGCTTCTGTCCCAGGGGATGGACAGATGGGTTGCAAGGACCTGGGTCTCCTCTGGCCTGAATGCCACACCAGGGAAAGGTGGCCTTTGACATTCTGGTCCCCGCTATTTGTGGTTGTGTGTGTCTGAACAAGTGTGGTCTTATACATGGAGCTCTCTGCTGTGTGAACTTGGAAAGTTGTTCTGATGTTTGGACCAAGAATTAGAATTCAGGAGGTCTAAGAAGGCCATGGTTGTGCATACCTGTAATCTCAGGACTCCAGAGGCTATAACAGGAGGATTACCCTAAGACTGAGGCCAACCTGGGCTATATAGTGAGGCCTTGTCTCAAATCAAAAATAGAATACAGGGGTCAGGCCTTGCTGTGCTACAGTTGCTGACTGATTTTAGCATGGGCTCTTGTGCTCCTCAGTTACACATGGGTTAAGTACCTTCCCTATGGCCCTATGGGGAAGTGTCTGACAGAACCTCCAGTTTAGAAGGACCCGACGGCCAGCAGGGCTCCCCTGCCACAGGGGAAGAGTACAGGCCCATCTCATGAATCCTATGAAGGCAAGAACAGATACAGTGGCCCACATTGGGCAGCTTCTGAAGATAAGAGGCTGCTGTGACCCCAACATGGTAAAGGAAAGGAGGAGGAGCCAGGCAGAGAGGGTCTCAGGGAGTTTGTGATGGGCGAAACCACTTTAAGAAGGCCTGGGATGAGAGCTGGTCACGTGCGTCTGTAGAGGGCTGTGGAGAGACGTACAGGTGCGCCATGTAGGGGACTCTTTCAAGAATATTAAACTAGGTTAGTATAAGGCCATGGCTTGACCAAATTTGTAGAAGGGAAATTATGGGTATTTTGACTTCCTTTCTCAGAGTTTTAAGGGTCAATTAAGGAAGGGACTCTTGACTTTGGCTGGGGCCATAGAGGCCACTGATCCATGCCATACCTCCTGGCTCCTCGTGCCCAGGTGCCTCTTGGGAGTGTAGGGATGATGCAGCCTTAGCCTGCCCTTGGCTTATCTGAGAGGGGGATTTGGACCAAAGACCCCACTGGAAGGAAGAACAGGGGAGGCTGGAGGACTGTCCCACTTGGGCCGAAGACCAAAAAGGCTGCTGGGAGGAGCCCACTGCACTGGTGGGAGGCAGCTCAGGGTGGAGCAGAAGATGGGGGATCTCTGATGAGTAGGTGAGGCCAGGGCTGGAGAGGAAATAAAGCCAGACAAGCTTAGGTAGGCGTTGGTGTTGTGTGCGTGTGTGTGCATGCTTTGGGGTGTATGTTAGGGTGTATGTTGGTATCTCACAGTCTATTGGGGTGTGTGTGTGCATGTGTTGGGTATACAATGAGGTGTGTTTTGGGGTGGGTATAACTGTGTGTTGGAAGCATGGAGCGTTACCTATGATGACATTCCCTCCCGCCCTCTCCCCAAACCCCTCCATTCCAGTGCCGCTGGCCAGTTCTTCCCGGAGGCAGCACAGGTGGCCTATCAGATGTGGGAGCTTAGTGCAGTGGCCCGAGTTGAGGTCAGACCCTCCTCACTTCCTGCTTGACCTGACCTCCAGCTTCCACTGGCTTGCACCTTTCTGCTACTCTGGTTGGCCCCCAGCTGCCCCCTGGGGGCCAACCCAAGCTGAGGGTTCTCACATCTGAAGCTTCCGGATTCCTGCATCCGTTCTAACACCTTGAGAAGTGTTCTGTCTGCTCTCTACTAACTGGCTTGCTCCAGTGAGACTGCGGTGGTTTCATGGGGACCTCTGCATCCTCAGCCTGGCAGTTGGGCATCTCTGAGGGCAGAGGGCACCCTTGGGTGCATGGCAGGATTCTGGAGTATACTCCTGAGGACCCTCACACCTTTGGGTCCACGAAGGACAGTGGTAAGGGTTTCACAGAGGCACCTGACAAACTATTCCGAACATTGTAAGGCTTGGTCCTCACAAGAATTTGGAACCTTGGGTTCTCTTTGCCACTGGCTGTGCCTCTGGGTCCCACTGTCCTTGTGGCCTCTATGCCTGTGTCTTTAGGATGAGATGAGATGGCAGCCCTAGTGGCCTAAAGGTTCCTTTGGTGTTCTAGTTTCCCCCAAATCCTAAGGCAAACACTAGCTTTGCAGGTGATCTTTGGTTGTATGATTACATACGTATCCCTGATTATAGGGAGGGATATTACATACATTTTCATGGGTGATTTTTTTTTTTTTTGTCTTTTTGAGATGTCTCCCTGTAGCCACAGCTGGCCTGGAACTCACTGTGTAGACCAGGCTGACCTCAAACTCACAGAGATCCACCTGCCTCTGCCTCCAGAGTACTAGGATTAAAGGCACGTGTCACCACACTTGGCTATAATGATACCTAGTCTAATACATGATAGTGTATAAAATATAAAATTATCTCCATCTTAGGGCTGGGGCTATATTATAACCCAGGGGTAGAGTGCTTGCCTAGCAAGCATGAGGCCCTAAACTTAGTTGTCATCACTACAAAAATTTATTTTTAACTATTTATTAATTTGGCAAGTTTTTTTTTTTAACACCTGTTATGTGTCAGACACTTGTACGCACAATAGCATATATCAGTAGACAAAAGTTATACAGGCTATGGTAGTCCAAGCCTACTCCTAGGATTTGGGAAGTAGGGCAGAAAAGTTCAAGGTCAACCTCTGTTACCATGTAGTGCGAGGCCAGCCTAGGCTACATGAGACCTTGTGTACAAAAAAAGGGAGGGAGGGAGGGAGGGAGGGAGGGAAGGAGGCAAAAACCTTTGCCCTTCACATCTTCAGTATGTAAATATACTTCAAAATAGTTGTGTTGGGGCTGAGTTGCACTGCAAGCCTTGGATTTGATTCCTCAGCACCCTGACCCCCAAATTATCCCAAATAAAAATGTTTATGGAAAATGAAATAGATATTAGAAGTTGAATTGGGTAAAAATATGAGGAAATAGCAAATGTGGAAGGCAGCCCGAAAGTTGTTGGGTAATGACTAAATTCGAGAAACTAGTCTGTTTCAGAGCATTTTGGCCTCCTCATCAAGGGCCTTGGCTCCCACAGGCATCGGGGCCCGGGACATGGTGGACTGCTGAAGGGCTGGAGGGCCCAATAGATGCACAGCCACAGGAACTGGATCATAGCCATGTCCTATAGCAGGAGCTAGCCCTCTTCCCTGTCCAGCACTCCGCCTGTCCCCAGATTTTCTCTGCTACCCCCCCGCAACCCCAGCCCTGGGCAGGCTCTGTCTGCTGTGCCTCCTTCCCCAGGCTGCTTGGCTTGGGGCTCAGTCTGGAAAGCCTCTATCACGTGGCATGCTCCTCTCTGGGTTTGGCCCCCTCGGGGGCCCTCAGACACCTGCTGAGCCTCTTTCTGCTTCTCACAGCTGAAGGGTACTGTGCGTGCAGCTGATGATTTCAACCCTGATGCAGACGCCAAGGCCCTGCGGAAAGCCATGAAGGGAATTGGTAAGGGGGACCAGGAGGGCCAGAGCACTTCTGGGTAGTGACCTGTTGGGTTTGGTGGGGGCCAGGGGGTATATGAAGCCTCAGGCTAGGCTCTGCCGGATGAGGAGGACCCTGTGGGAGCCTCCTCCATCTCAAAGGAGAGGGAGGGACAGAGAGGGTCCAGAATGAACTTGACAGGAGTCTTTCCCAGAGTCCAAGGTCTCAGCCTCTGCCAGCAAGAGCCTCGTGTGGAAGAAAGTACTAGGTCAGAAAGCCTGGGTTCGTGCCCTTTGCTGCTGACTCACTGTGACTTTGTTCAAGTTCTTAAACAGCTCTCGGTCTCAATTTCCCAGTGTGCAAAATAAGGGTCCTTGACCCAGGAACCCAAGAGCACTGGTGCAGGGGCAGGAGTGCCCCCTGCTGGTGGGCTCCTCCAAACCTGTGTTTGCTCCAAATGGACGGTTAGTCTGTGCCCCAGCTGGGGACAGAGCATGGGGATTTGACTTCCATTGGCCACCTGCCCAACAGCAACTCCCAGGGGGCTTTGGGTAAGGCCTCCTGGGGGTAATACCTGCGGAGCAGCTCTGACTGTGGAGATAGGTGCAGATGCTTTGAAAGACAGGGCCCCATGCCACACCTGAGGTTGGTGTCACTCATCCGAGAGGCAGGAAGTCCTGATTCTTCATACAACCTGCTGTGCTTAGAGGGAACTTGTAAGCCACTGTTCTGAGCCACTGTTCAGGGAGTTGAAGGCAAAGGACATACAGTCACTAACGAGGCTTCGAATGCAGGGTTGGAACAATCCCTTAGTAGTTACTCCAGCCTCTTCATGTTGGAGATGTGGAAACTGAGTCCCAGAAAGAGAAAGGGACTTTTCCAAGGTGGGTGGTCATTGCCAGAGCCCAGACCAAAACTCAGAGGTGGTGACTCCCAAACCAGTGCTCGCTACCTGGACTCCTAGTCTAGTGCTCACTTCACTCCTGGTTCTAGTTTTGACAGAAGAAAGTCAGGAAGAAGCCAGGGGAGGTCAGTGTCTAGAGCCCAGGGAAAAGTGCCCACAGGGACCAGGAGCACATGGCTGCCCAGCCAGGCCTCTATCCAAACAGGACTGATGGGTACCATCAGTAGGATATGTCAGGGAAACTGACTCACAGAACCTCATCTGAAGTGTGTGGCTTTGGTGACTCAGGAACTGATGAAGCCACCATCATTGACATCATCACGCACCGCAGTAATGCCCAGAGGCAGCAGATCCGGCAGACCTTCAAGTCTCACTTTGGCCGGGTAAGGATCCTCTCCTGAGCCACATCCCACAGCCACACACCTTCCCAAGGAAGTTCATCCTGTCACTGCCAACTCTGTACAGTTAGACACCAGGGGCTTCATGGCTATGGGACCCCACCTGGTGTGGTATCACAGCGTGTCCCAGCCCTGGGTCTGCCATTCCCCTGGTTCCTATGATCAGCGACACGTGAGGTAGCTCAGCAGGGCTATGATCGGGGATGGTGGCTGTCTCTGTGTGTTTCGGAGGCTGGCTTGACCTTGGCTCTGCCTTTTGCAGGACTTAATGGCTGACCTGAAGTCTGAGATCTCGGGAGATCTGGCAAGGCTGATTCTGGGGCTCATGATGCCACCAGCTCATTATGATGCCAAGCAGCTGAAGAAGGCCATGGAGGTACATATTAGGGTTCAAATCACAGCAGCCTTCCTGTCTCCAACAGGGCCTCATGACCTCCCAAGCCCCTGAGAAAAAGGGAACCGAGATGATAAGCACCCTGGTCTTTGAAGTCCAGGGAAGCAGACTCTTCTAAAAGGCCGCTTGCCTTTCCTTTGATCCCCCAAGACAAGATAAACAGATTCCACCTTTTAACCAGAGACTCAGGAGCTGCTTCAGCACAGCAGTTTTCCCTTATCTTAAGAGGACAAAAACAAACCCTTCCTGACCCGGATCCTGGCTGACAGACGGTGGGGAGCGGTTTTACAAGTCCCGCTCTCCCCCTTCCCCGCTGCCTAATTTTTTCCAAAAAACCTCCCACCTTCTGTGTCCCCGAAGCCCCCTTAGAAAAGCACCAGCTCACAATCCACGGGCTGACATTTTCCCTTCCCTGAAGGGAACGTGTCCCGTATGAAATAAAACTATCCCGCTGAGTTTTATCTGTGTCTTGGTGTTTTCTCCTGATCAACCCTATCCATCCTCCAGCTACTTTCACGGATCAGTACAGAGCATGTACTGGAGCGGGGGTGCTGCAGGTGCTCAGGGTCAGGGCTACGGCTGACATGACCTTTGCGTTTGCCTTCTAGGGAGCTGGCACCGACGAAAAGGCTCTTATCGAAATCCTAGCCACGCGGACCAACGCTGAAATCCAGGCCATCAATAAAGCCTACAAGGAGGGTGAGTGCTGGAGGGCTCGCCGGGTGTTGCTGGGAGGCAGGAAGTCCCTAGGGTGAACCTCAGCCCTCCGCTCCACCCACAACTCTGTTTAGTCAACTCCAGGAGCTTTTGTGTGCCAGAGTTGCAAGTGGTTGTGAGCTGCCTGATGTAGATGCCAGAGACCAAACTCAGGTCCTTTGCAAAAGCAACTCTGAGCCATCTCTCCAGCCTCTTGTTTGTTTTCTATATTTGTGTGTGTGTGTGTGTGTGTGTGTGTGTGTGTGTAGGTCAGAGACCAACTCTTTCGAGGGTCAGTTCTCTTCTATTATGTAGGTTCTGGCGATCAAACTCAGGTCGTCAAGCTTGGCTGCAAGCACCTTTACCTGCTGTACCATCTCAATGAGTCCAACCTTGTTTTTTGAGACAGGGTCTCCTACTGACCCAGGAATTGCCGATTTGGCAAGGCAGGCTGGCCAGCAAGCCTCAGGGATCTTCAAGTCTCTAGCTCCCTAGCTCTAGGATTGCAAGAATGGACTGCCACACCCAGTTTCTTCTGTGGGTCCTGGAGATCACATTCAGTTTAACCACTGAGCCATCTTTCCACACCCCCTGTTTCTACCTCAGACTATCACAAGTCGCTGGAAGACGCCCTGAGCTCAGACACATCTGGCCACTTTAGGAGGATCCTCATTTCTCTGGCCACGGTGAGTGAATTTGTGATTCTGAGGTTCATTCATCCATGGGGTGCTTGAAGGACCCCATTTGCCTTCTCAGAGGTTACCTCCAATCCCTTTTTTCAGAGCTGGGTTGGTGCCACCTCTGAGCAGCTCTCTTTGATGGCCTAGTGTGACCTTTTGGGTCTCCGGCTCACAGAACAAAGCCACATGGTGACCCTGTCCTGTGCCGTCACTGAGTTCTCAGACCTCATTCCTAGCCTGAGAGCTCACGGTACCAAGCATGGGTCTAGGAGCCACATAGCCTACCCTGGAATTGCCCCTGTGTTGCAAACGATGAAGGGAATTCAGGGAGATGATGGAGCAAGATGGGGCATGGGAGTGGGGTGCTTGGGGACTGACTTCTTGCTGGTCCTGCTACAGGGGAATCGTGAAGAGGGAGGAGAAGACCGGGACCAGGCCCGGGAAGATGCCCAGGTGAGACCCCAGCCCTCCTGTGCTGGACAGCCAGTGGGTCCATACCAAGCCCTGGCTGTCAGGTGGGGCAGGCTCCTGGTGGGAGCATGGTTGGTTTGACTGACAGATGCTTTGACTCGGGCCCCTGTACCTCTACCTATAAAAGCAAAGTGAAGCCTTGAGGGTTTTCAGAATGAGCCATGGGAGGGTGGAACTGGTCTCACTGGCATTTCCCATGTGACTAGGAGGATCCTTAGAAACGTAAGTGAATCACCCATCACCCAGGTCAAATCTCCAGCTTACAGTGGGGAATGAGAGTCAGAGAGGGTGACTGACTTCTGAAACTCACACAGCAAATCAGTGACCCAGGGAGAACTGATCCGAGAGCTAAAGGTCTGGGTTTATTATCTGTAAAATGAGACTGTGGTCGACTTAGCAAGTTGCTAAAGGCTGGCACTGCTGTTGGGCTCAGTGATATGTCCTGTGCCCAGTGCTAAGTAGATACTGCTGAATGTTAGGGTTGCATCTCAGGTTGGGGAGCTGCACATGGAGGCTGGGCAACCCCAGGTCCATCTTTCCTGAGATCCTTTTGGTTGCACAGCCTGCTCTGAGGTCTTCAGCCCCCCAACTCCCCTCGCTCCACAAGCAGACAACACAGCATCTGAGAGTAGAAAGCCCCAGGGTAGCCTGACACAACTGAAATTACAAAGCCAGGCATGCTCTAGCACTGGGGACACCTAGGCAGGAGGATCAGCCTGGGCTATATGAGACCCTGTCCAAAAGAACAAACGAAAAATTCCAACAGCCTCCAGGCTGTAGTTTCGTTGTTTAGGAGGCATGCTCTGTACTGAGGACGGTATGACACTGTGGGTCCAGTACTTTCTGTTTTCCGTTGAGGAAAATGAAGCCCCTGACCTGCTCACAGGGACCATTTCTGAGTGGCTTCAGTTTAAATATGTTCATGGGGGTTAGCCTGGGAACCCAGCCAGACCCCCACAGTGCTACAAAGGCCTTTAGAGCTTAGATCTCACCCACGTGCATCCTGCACCCTCACATTCATCTCCAGGGAATACTTCCACCTGGTGTCTCTGCTTGGGACTAACGGGGCAGTGTGGTCCTGGCCAGCAGCTGCTTTGCAGGGGAAGGGAAGAGAGAGAACCGGGATGGAGGCACTGAGGGACCCCTGAGCCACAGCCCTGCTCCATTAAAGGCTCAGTAGCTTCTCCGTGAATCAGGACAAGACCCTAATACAATGTGAACTCATTTGGGGGTAACTAGCAAAATTTTTTTGTCTCACAAGTAATATGTATTTTTTGGTAAAAACACAGAACACATTAAAAAAAAAGCAGTAGTAATGTCCTAATAATTGCATATATTCAAATTGTTTTTCTATGTACATACAGATTTCTGTTTCTAACAGTTAAAAGCTAAGCTGGGCCTTGTAAAGCACACCTGTAATTCCAGCACTTGGGAGACAGAGAGAGGCAGGAGGATTGATGCAAGTTCAAGGCCAGCCTGGTTCGCATAGTGAATTCCAGGGACTACATAGCAAGACCCTGTTGAAAGAAAGAAGGAAGGAAAGGGAGGGCAGAGAGAGAGAGAGAGAGAGAGAGAGAGAGAGAGAGAGAGCACTTGGGGGTTTTGGTGGCATGGTTTACTCTGTCCACCCCCTCCCAACCTTACTCTGGGCATCTGGTGCTTCAAGCTAGCTCTTTAAAGTCTGGGTCTGTTGTCAGCAGAGTAACTGTATGTCAAGTTTCCACCATTTACCTCATAGTGGTAGTTAATATTATAGCTTCCTCTCATTCTCCTCTAAGTTCTTACTTAGTGTCCTAGTTTTTTTCTCCATTGCTGTGACAAAATACTCTCACCAATACCAACTTGGGGAACAAAGGGTTTATTTTATCTTACATCTCCCGGGTCACAGTTCATCAGGGAGCCCAAGGTAGGAACCCAGGGCAGGAACCTGGAGGCAGGAGCTGGAGCACAGGCCATGGAGGAACAGTGCTTACTGGCTTGCTCCTCTGGCCCCTGCTCAGCCTGCTTTCTTATGCAACACACCAGGGTTTCTTATGCCCACCTGCCCAGGGATGGCACCACCCACAGTGGGCTGGGCCCTCCCA